AATCCCAAAACCCTAACTCCCATTCATTCCATATCCTTTTCATTACTGCTGTTGCTGCTCTGATAGCAGCTATCATCACCTCTCTCATATACTGACTTGAGCGTCGGAGGCTCTACGCCGGAAACCCCTCCGGCGTTGAGTTCTTGCAGGTGTTCTTGCGGCTCATAACAACGGCTCGATCGCCATCACATCAGATCTAAGCTCATCCGTACCGGTTCGTCCCAGATCCGGACGTTTTCTCATCAGACCGTCCCAGATCTGAGAAGAAACCCATCAACCTTTAACATGAAAATTTTTGCTTTGAATATGATTTACTGACTTGACTTAGGAAAATTGAGCTTATTCCCTGATCTAACTCAAGGAATTCTTTCTTAGAATATGCCAACTGGTTGGCAAAATGGGCAATTTTTGATAGAAAATTTCTGAGGAACATGATTACTAAGATTTGTACCACATAAGTGCTTACAAATCTCTTAACGAGTCATAAACTCGACCTGAATAAATCTAGAATTTAATATAGAGTTCTCAAATATAGCCCCTTTCTAAGGTTCTGAATTCTAACCCTGACATCTTTACTGATGACTTTATTGATGCTGATCAATAAAGCACACAAATTTCTTGACGAATTGCTAAACATGACTAGAAAATATTAACATAAAATCCCGAGTATACTGACTACTGGTCATAAACATGATTCGAGCATCTTAACTAAATCATAACTGAGAATTTCTGAGCATAGCTATAGTAAATTGTTTATAATTTAAAACATGAATCAACACTTACCTGGTAGTCGGTGAGGCGTGAGCGTGACGTGTTCGGGTTTTCTGAAAATTTTCTGACTCACTAAAGTATTCAGATACACAAAAATGTGCTCTGATACCAACTGTAACACCCCGCCTTGACATGAAAATCAGAGCGCGCTTTTCGCAATTAAATTCAAATTAAAACATTTTATATTGCGAAGTACTGATTCGGAGTGCTACTAAAATACTTAACTGACTGAAAATCTGGACTTTTGGTTTTGGAAAAACCAACTAACAGTTCGGCTGCTGATTTCTTTGACTAAGATTGACGAACAGCAAAACATCAGCGGAAACTGTAGTGGTGAAATTGGATAGCAGTACCGTGATCGTGAAAACATGTTATCTGAAAATAATAACGACACTGCTATGCCAAATTCAAACTGTACAAAACATAATTTAAGCTTTATAAGCATAAAGCTTAGGCAATTTAAACTTTATAAGCATAATCCCAAATAGCTCCGTCATCTCACTCCTCCGTCCCGACTTCATGACCTGAAATACATGATAATAGTGGGAGCGTGAGTACTAAAATCACTGTACTCCGCATAAAC